ATACTTATAGATTTATAATTTTTATAGACACCGAGATCTATCTTCAGTTAGCTACGTAAATAATGTCGATAAAAAATAATGTAAATGGAAATGAAAATAATATTTCTATGCTATTACAATTGATACTATTACATTCGTAATACTATACTGTCATACGAATAATAATGTGTTTAATAAATTTTAAATATATGCTTGTGTGCGGGTGCGTGCGCGTGCATGTATGCGTAAGTGTTTAACAATGATATTACGATTAATTTGTAGACGTCATGTACAGTAAATTTGAATATCTAATTTATTCATTCTTTTACGACATCTGATTTGGATAATTAAATTTGATGTAACAAAGTGTACAATTTAATATTAATGTAATATTAAAAGTATTGGGGAAAAAAAAAAAAAAAATGTAATAGAATCGGGGAATGTATTTTCTATAAATACTTCATCATTATACTCCTATCCTTTTTTATGTGTTATATTTTTCGATTATAATGAAAAATTGATTTATAAAATGGACGATTAAGATATTTTAAAGTAATTGCAGCTCGCGTTATTATAGAGATAAAAAAAAAAAAAGTTCTATCCTTTTACGATGTAACTAACCGCATTTCATAATACGTAAAAGCGCAGTCCGCGAGTCTTGCAAGGAAAAAAGTATTTCAATAAAAGTCATTCATTATATTCATGAAATTTATACAATATAGAGTCCCAATATATATATATATATATATATATATATATATATATATAGATCAATCTATTTTATGGATAGAAATGTACTGATGAAATAATCTAAAGTAACCGACGTTTCAATATAGTTGTAATATAAAAGGGCAAATTTACATGTGTGGATTTATACGTATAGAACTTCATTCTAAACCTTCATAATCCATTTAAATATAAATCATTCCCCATATTTGTATGCTTAAATAGAATAATTGAATTTTGATAGATATTAATTTCTTTATACATTGAAGAAGAAAGCTTCTTAATAATACTTTTGACGGCTGTATTTGACGCGACGCTTTTTGCTCTTTAATGAACCGCAAGTCCGATATTTATATTTACTCGGTTATTTGCGTTCCTGTCGTTTGCGGAGCCTCTGGTTTTAGTATTCATTACACGATCTTATGGCCAATGACGCAAGCACAATTTGCATTATTGTGCCGAGATTTGTTAATATTTTTTCGTATGTTGGTAAGTAAGCCTCGACTATTGAATTATTATTCGCGTAGAGAAGAATTTAAAGGATTAGCGTTAATTTGTTCAATTAGGCATTGATGATAGTGTGAGCTATTGAAGTGGCCCTTTCCAGAAAATTCACTTTCACGCGAGAAACACTACTCTTCTTATAGTTAATGATGAGTTCAACGTCAACGGTGTACCGTACATTGCATTGAATGCATTTTCATGCAATCGTCGCATGTAGCTGTAACAGAGGTGTTATCGTCTTGATAAGCTAATACCGTTGGCTCGCTGTTATGGAAAATCAGCTTATAACTAAGCTCTTTACAAATCGCGAGATTTTCAATATTACCATATTGGCAATAGAAAAGGATTCAGCAACCTACGTGCTCGAGTTTATTTAGTATCATTGTTTCTCCGCTATCTGATTACGGCCGTATGGCATGTATGCATAGAGTAGCGTAATTTCGTACATTCAAGAGTACCGTTTGTTTACAGTTTGGAGTATTTATAATTATGTTTACATCCATAGAACGAACGACAATAAAAAACAACAAAAAAAAACAAAAAAAAAACAAAAAACAAAAAACAAAAAACAAAAAAACAACAACAACTTCTTTATATGAACAGTTATTTCGTTAATAATTTGATTATTCACTGGCTCATTGGTAAAACTCATGCTGCGCGAGCATATTTTAGAAATGTGCATAGTATTTCTTGAATCATATAAGATAGTAGAGACACGCTTTATAGTTTGCAGATAAGTCATATTTATCGGATATTTAAGAAGATGCTTACAGCGAACGGCACTTACGTGGTAACACACGATACGAGCAAGAAGTTCTTACATAAATTTACGTTCCAATCATTGCACAACTGTGCAAATACATACCTATATATCACCTACTTTACTTTACCTAGCAGAACTCGTAGACTTTATGTTTCGCGATAAAGTAATGGGCTTATAAAAATCTAATGATTTTCCCAGGGAAGAATAACAATGACGATTAATGAGATAACGAGTAAAAATCCAATTGCAATAATTGAATCCAATTCGGACATTGAATCGAGTGTCTTAATAAAAAATTTCCTGAAACGATCTGTCAAATTTTTCTCGATATGTTAATGACGAAAAGATGAGAAATCACGGATAAAATGAAATTTATACCAGAGTTTTAGACTAAATGACGTATGTACCTGGTACTCCTGTCAATCGAGGCAGGAACTCGTTCCAAAAAGCACAGGCGGTCGTACGTGGGCCTTTACCAACACCACTATTATCAGCGTTGAAAAATTTATAATGAGGTTGCTCGGTTGTATAGGGCGGCCATTCGCTCTCCGACATCGGCACTCTGCAAATCCCAATAAATCATATGCGTAAAATAAGTTATGAAGGAAAATTTGGAATAATCTGTATCACGTATACAATCATTATAATGAATACTACTAATGTAAATAATTATATAAATACCTACATCGTTTGTACAAACGAGCACACACATGTACCAGTAAAACACAAATACGAGTATCACAGTAGTGTGAGTCAGCGGTAGATATTTAATTGATAGCTTGCATGCATAATAGAATATTAACTTAAGTAAATAAAAGTAAATTCGTTATATTAACGTGTAGTTATCTTCCATTAAAATTCATAAAGCTGACACGAAAAGTAATAAATACTTGAAAATATATTACTAGTTCCTGTGCAAATAATTAATATATTCAATTTAAAAAATTAAAATATCATTTTGTAGACAAAAAGAAATATATTAGGCTGGAAAAATATTATTTTAAACTTTAGATCAATTGGTTTCCTGGACTAATTAAAATTCTCAAATATTTTTATGCAAATTGTTTTTCTTGCAAAACTTGACAGCCACTTAATGGAATGGAATATTCCTTATAAAATATTTAAAATCAATAATAATATAGATTGGAAAGGAGGTTTTAATATTGTAATTCTTTCGCCTTAATTAAACGTGTAAAATAATTGTACTTTGTTTTGTTTTTGTTTTTGTTTTTTGAATTTATTATAGTGAAAACCAATGAACTAAATATTCAGAGTTTAACTGAAACAATTAGATACGAATAAAATAAGATGTCGATCCCGCAAATGGCCAACAAACCAACGAAGCCAGCAACTTTGTAATTCTGGACTACGAAATATAACACGAAGGAGCGCACTAGTTAAAGAGAAAAGGAGAGAGAGAGAGAGAGAGAGAGAGAGAGAGAGAGAGAGAGAGAGAGAAGTCAGAGTCGCGGACAAAAAAAAATTTGCGAAAAGGATATATGCCTCTTTTAAAGCTGATTTGTTGAAAACGGGATAGGAGCCTCGCTGCCGCAAATTATCTTCCGAGTCAGGACGAAATGTCCTCTCACAATCAGTCTCGAACGGAAATGTTCTAATCGAGTTTCGCTAGCCCTACACTTATTTAACACTTTTTAATTCTCCGGCAAATATCGTTTAACTCGGCTAATAATGTAACGAATAGTCATTGGATGCTGACTTAACGGTTATCGGCTAGAAACGTTGCATTGTAACGAGAGTAACAAATGTAAAAATTCTGGCTATAATTAATTTTCTATTAAGAAAAAACTCGTCATAATACATAAATTTTAGTCCGTTAGTCTATGATTGATACTTATACGATTTAACAGGAGATTTAACGACTTTTTAATAACTGTTTGAAATTTTGACAGCTGCTTATCCTGAATTTCCTAAGACTTTTATTTGACTAAATTAATTAAAAAAATTGTTTTTTATCTATATTAATAATATTCTAAAGTTACAAATTATACCGATTAATACATACACACAACTACTTGAATCGGAATTTTAATGTAAATATAGAATTTTTTTTATTATTAAGAATTAAGAAGATTTATGTTTAAAATTTTTTTCTTATTAATTTTTTTTTAATTTTAATAGAATCTATGTTTTACAGATAGTTCGTTATAACTACATTAAAAACTATGTTTTGCTCAATGTTAATAGGAAATTTTTGGATCGAGTATATAAACATATATTAATACAGTATCACTATATTATAGTTTTAATATAAAGTCATATGTACGTTTATTCAGAATTTTACGATTATTTTATTTCTCATAAATGTCATAACAGCGATAATGACGTATATTGTGTATAAATATACAATATAATATTCAGTTTGATTTATTTTACAAATACAATAATAATACAACCTTATTACAACTAATTATTATAATTCATCTCGATACGAAGTTTGCTATTGGATTTCTTTCTCATCCCCCCGGCCCACCCTCACACACATACACGCGCGCGCGCGCACACACACTCGCGCACACACACACACACTCTCTCTCTCTCTCTCTCTCTCTTATTTTCATTTTCTTATTGATCGAAAAAGTATGAAATCTCAAAGATTGCTCTTCTTCCTATCGTTGCAAATATTTTGTGAGTAAAAAAATTTTCTCAAAATGTAACTCATTATACTGCCTCATTAAAATAGATACAATAATATAATGTTTAAACGGACAATTTTTGTAGATATCCAACCGACACGTACAATAGCAAAACCAATTGTTGGTGTCAATGTGAGGGAGCCGAGAGCGAACGAAATGGAATTCTCTGCGGTTGTTTCGATCGTCTCAGTTTTTAACACGAGTGCTAATAACGAGCAACAATTTCAAGATGACATTATATGTTCGGGGACGCTTATTTCGTTAGTGCACGTTGTCACAGCAGAACATTGTGCCCAGGGAACGAGAAATCATAGAATAGAAGTTATTGCTGGATCGATTGATATACGACTTGGATGCAGATATCCATTGTTTTGGTGGGTAACGCATAATCAATGGGCGGTATCGCAGCTTCGACGTAATCGATACACCGTCAACGATATTTCCGTTATAAAAGTAAATTTTTGATAAAAAAATAAGAGTAAAGTTGGGCATTCAGTAAGCAACTGTATGACTGTCATTATGATTATGATAAGATAAGAGAAAAGAAACGCGTAATACATGTAAGTAGAGCATAAAAGATTTTTCAAAAATTTTCTTTCAGTTACTTGGTCAAGTACACGGGAGTATAGTTCCAGCTGTATTGTCAAATCTGTCAAAAAAACGTTTAGTCGGTGCGTCTGCTACAATGGCTGGATGGGGCAAATTAAATAACGAAGAAATACCCATGATAATTCATGTAGCTAATGTCACAATACTTTCCGATTTTGATTGTTTGGCAATACATCACCAATTTTACGATTTTACTTATCATATGCCAGCCTCGGATATATGTTCCGTAAATGAACCCTATGTACTTTTGGAACACGTAAGTGTGCTTTTCTTTTATTTATTTTTTTTTTTTATTTATTTTTTTTTTTTTATTTTTTTTATTATTTTTATTTTTTTTTATATTCATTTTCCATTCATTTAAAACTCTTATGAAAAATAGTTGTGAATGAATTTTTTTTTTTCTCCCGAATAATACATACAATATATAATATAGAATGAAGTTTTCATATGAAACACTCAAATATGAGGTAAAAATATTGAAAATTTATTATCATTTTATAAGCATTTTAAGTTTAGATATATAAATATTTGGCAATTATATATATTAAAATTATAAATGTATGGATTTATATATATATTTATTTCTTCAAAGAAATATATTAATAATTTATTTATATATATATATATATATATATATATATATGTATATTGTATTGCAGGGTGATAGCGGTGGTCCACTTTTACAAGGAAATGTAATTGTAGGTGTTAACTTAGGTACATTTCCGTTTCACGATATGGGATTTCATCCCGAATTGGCAAATATTCATGTTACTATTCACTATTATAGAGTTTTTCTTAGCCATCTGTTGAATAACTGAAATTACGCATTAATTGCTAGTAATAGCATTGAAGGAAAAGTAATTATCAATTGTATATACTAATATTAAATGACTATAGTAGATTTAATACAAATAATTAAATTAATATTAAATACAAAAATTGTCTACTTATTAATCCTCAATATTTATGAATAATGTACGATTGTGTGATATAGATTTTATGATGCTTGACCTTTTTTTCACGAATTTCATCTCCTGACCATTTGTTCTATCGTTTTTATTATTATTCTTTTTATACGTTTTCTAAAGGGGAAACGCTCTTTTATTGCTTTGTTACTAAATATTTGTGTGTATTGAAAATACTCTTAGTCTCAAAAAAAAAAATTTTTTCTTCATCACTGACAAACCATTGTAAAACAAGTATGAAGAAAACAAGTGAAATAAGAATTATTCATAAAAGTCATATTAATTTTTAAATACAACAAATAACTAAAAATAATAAAATAAATAATTCCCTCGACGTATCGATGCGCCAAGACATAATTTTCATACGTAATATTTATCTAGTATTACTTTTATATACGATTCTACAAGAAAAATAGATCAAGTTTTAGCCACAATTTTCTTTACGTATTTCTGTTTTTTTTTTTTTTTTTTTTTTTTTTTTTTTTTTTTAGAATTTCAGACTTAAATGCGGTAACACCGAATCTCCTGATAATGATTAATGCTACTCGATATTGAATCGACAAACATTAGCTTAATCATTATTTCTTTCTGCAGATGCCTTGTGTCCAACACCGATTCTTCACTCTAATCTTCTTTTAACTACCGTTCATCTTACTTGATGATATAACATTCCTTATATCGTCCTAATGTATCGTATTATCCTCAACCACTAAGATATACTAAGTGATACTAAGCTTGTTGTACTAATGCGCTGATAACAGGCACATACACTCCCTTATCATATTCTATATAATACTTATATATATATATATATATATATATAGGATTGTTGACTCTATTACACTTGTTGCTATTGAAATAGTAAAAAATGCAATTGCATCTGTCTGATTAAAGGTCAATATATATTTTCAATCAAAAAACGGCTAATTCGACGCACTTTCGACTTGTGTTTATTCATTACATTATGTTATTTATTTATCTACTCGTTTCACGGAAATCATATTTTAAATGATTTTTATGCAAAAAATACTGTATGCTTTGCAGCGACATATAGTTTATTAATGTAAGTAATTGTAACTAAACTACATTAGTTCACGCCATAATATTCTGAGTAATTTTTTTTTGTTTTTTTTTTGTTTTTTTTTTTTTTGTTTTAAATACATTTCGGCAACTAAGCGTAATATATAGTCTATATGAAGCCAAGGGAAATATATTCAACACTTTGATTATAATATTGTTGAAGTATAAATAGCCAAATTGTTAGAATTAGTTGTAAAACTAGAATATACTCTAGGTTCTGAAATCTCTCTATATTCGTTCGAAGCATAATTTTGATGAAATAATTAAACAACGTAAGAAACAAATTATATATAATATTTATCTAAATGGCAATTATTGGAAAGTATCGAAAGTAAATACATATATATATATATATATATCATCAAACGATCCTACGACGATTTTTGATTCTATCACATACTTATTTATTGAATATATTAAATTTCAAAATAAATTAGTAATTGTATTACTGATTGAAACAGATGAAAAAAAAAAATATATTTATTGCCCTCGCATTGAACATGCAAACGAAAATTTTGCTTATTTAATTCAGCCCATTTATTTATTTAAAAATTATATAAATGAGTGATATTTCACATAGTTGGAAGCCATTTACAATACTTTATGGCAAAATACGTATGTAAATATTCAGATAAAATGTATTATTACAGTATAATCAATTGTATCTTTTTTGTTTCATTGGCCAAGATAATTATAAGCCTTTGCCCATTACTCAATTTCTCAATTATAAAGCTCTAAGGATTCAG